GCATGTGAAAGCTGGACAGTGAATAAGGAGAATTGATGCTTCTGAGTTATGATGTTGAAGGAGAATATTGAAAGTACCATGGGCTTCGAAAAGAACCAACAGATCTATGTTGGAAGAAGTGCAGCCAGAGTGCTCCTTGGAAGCCAGGATGGCCAGACTTCGTCTCTCATACTTTGGACATATTAGCAGTAGGGACCGATCCATGGAGGAGGACATCATGTTCGGTAAAGTGGAGGGTCAGAGAAAGAGACAATGACCCCCAATGAGATGGACTGGCACAGTGGCGGCAGCAGCAGCGGGCTCAAGCATAGCAATGATTGTGAAGTTGGTGCCGGACCACGCGGTATTTTGTTCTGTTGTACATAGGGTTGCAATGGGTCAGTACCAACTCAATGGTACCTAACAACAAATCCAGTGTCGGGGGTCAGGGGCCTTCAGTCATGAGTGAGGTCATGGGGAGGGGACTATCTGGGAAGGATGTCATCGATCATGGGAAGGGTACTGACCGTGTTGTATGGGGGCTGCGTCTCCTCAGCCCACCTGCTTCACCCTCCCCGGGGCAGGCCCATGTCGACTCTAACCTAATGCCAGAAACATCTGGAGCTCTGTACTACAGTCCTTAAGGTTCCCAGTGCCTCACAAACAGTCACCGTCAGAGGCCAGTGGGCACTTACCTCCAGCAGCAGCCTGCCCTCCAGCACCTCAGATGCTCCAGGTGGGCGCACGTCTCCTGGTGAGGGGTCCCTGGCCACCGGCCGCCGTGAGCCCGTCTCCTGCACAGCTGCCAGAGAGAACAGGAGACATCAGCACCTGATCCTCATGAAGTCACTTTCTTGTGTTCTCCAGGATCCCCCAAAGCCTGGCCTGGTGCCGGCCTCGGCTGTGCTCCCTGTCAGCGTGCACGGTAACAGCCCAGTCCCCAGCCCGGAGCAGGTTGAGCAGGACGGGCTAGGGCAACCAGGCAGGTAGGCACTCCTCTCCCTTAACTGACTCCCATCTAGTTCAGAACAGATCTTGGGGTCCCTGCAGCCTCGCCCATCCCAGTGATGTTGAGCTGGACAGTACAGCCAACCTCTGAGGACAGAGAGGATAGGGGGCTGCTTCACTCCCAAGGTCACATCCAGGAATCCCAAACCTGGACCATGGTCACTGTGTCCCTGTATGTCACCATATCCAAATGCTCCATCACACACCAGGACGGGCTTACTCTCTCATTCCTGTACCTGCCTCACCCTTCCTGGAGTCCTTCCCAGCTCAATCCACCGATGCCCATGGATTAGACTCAGGTATAAGAAAACCATGACTGACCTCATGACCCAAAACAACCGCAGACCACCCATGGGCTGAGAACGACCCAGGGACACCTGTCCTTTCTCCTCCCATTGAGATGACCACCGGGGTACCCGCTCTCCTCCAGTGAAGACGACCCCTAGATGCCCTCTCTCCCCCGAACGAAGACGACCCCCCGGACACCTGCTGTCCCCCAGAACGAGGACGACCCCCCCGGACACCCGCTCTTCCCTGGAACCAAGATGACCCCCAGGGCACACGCTCTCCCCCAGAACGAAGACGACCCCCTGGACACCCACTCTCCCCTGGAATGAAGACGACCCCCAGGACGCCTGCTCTCCCCTGAATGAAGACGACCCCCAGGATGCCCACCCTGCCCCCGAACGAGGATGCCCCCTTGGGGGACGCATGCCCAGGGAAGGATCAGACTCTGAGGGTGTTAGAGAGGGCCTGATCCAGAATCCCAATCTTCCTCCTCAGATGAGCCTTGTGTTTGTGGGGATGCCTCGCTGTCACCCTCATGGCATAGGGGGTGAGTACAGACTCCGGGCCACCTCCTCTGTCTCCTCCAGGACGTGGACGCCACGTGACTTCGGAAGCCCTTGCAGCGGAGCTCAGGTCCGGCTGGACTCCAAGCCTCTGCACATCTGGGTAGGCCTCTGTCTCTGTACCCCCAAACCCACTGCCAGGAGTCACCTGGGACTCAGCGACCCTTCGGGGTACAGTAGGACAGCTCCTCGGGGTTTCTGGGGCTGGGGTCTTGACTGGAGTCCTGGTGTAGCACTGTGGGTTAATGCGCTCAACTGCAAAGTTGGCTTGAATTACAAGGTCAGCAGTTCAAGCTCGCCAGCCGCTCCTTGGAAACCCTGTATAGGGTTGCTATGGGTTGGAACTGACTCGATGGCACTTAACAACAACAACAGCAATCTTGACTGGAACAGACAACCTCATCTTTCTACCCAGGAGTGGCTGTTGAGTTCGAACCACCGATGTTGTGGTAACCAATCCAATGCTTAACCCACTGTGCCACCAGGGCTCCTTCACTGAACCAGAGAATGCAAGAAGTGTCTCCTCCAGGGGAAGGTTTGCTGTCAGACCTCCAGCCCTTTCCAGCCCTGACCCTCCTAGCCGCCAAGTCCAGTCCTCCCCAGTCCACCTTGGGTTCAGGACACAGTTGTTGCTGTTCATAGCGACTCTGTACAGGGTTTGCGAGGAGCGGCTGCATTAGCCCGCCGCGCCAGGAGGTGAAATGCTGAGCTTTGAGATGATGGCAGAGGAGCGGTGGAGGTGGTCATCCTTAGCTTCTGTTCATTTGGTAGTGGGCTCTGTTTACTCAGCAACCACATGAAGGAGAGGCTTGGGATAGACTGCAAAGACAGGGTCCAATTCTTCCCCCTGAGAGCAGGCTCTGATTAACATGAACCAGAAACAGGTCAGGGACAGAGTCCGCGTGTCGGGTCTCAGGAACCCCTGAGGGGTGGGGAGGCTGGGGGGCGGGGGCTGGAAGGGGGCCACAAAATGGAAGGAGCCAGAGCCACCCTTCCTGCCAGCCTGCAGTGAGTCCTCAGCAGACAGACCCAGGTGGGGGCCACACAGGACGCTTGCGGGGCTCAGGACAGGAGAGCTGTGTGAAGGACTGTCTGAAGGGACTCTGCCCCAAGTCACTGACCACAGACCCACAGATCGGGCCCCCTGCCCTTCCACACAAGGCTGTGTAACTGGCGGCATTGGGCAGCGTGTCCCAGGTCTTCACTCTCCCAGGTCCTGCAGAACCCAAAGGCTGGAGGTTTGGGGGGGGAGTGGGGGGAGGGATCTAGCTATGGCGTGAGGTGGGGGACTCCTGGGACACGTGCACCCAAAGCAGCAGAGGGTCATGGGCCTGGATGCTCAAACCAAAGCTCTCCATGTCACTGGCTGGTGGACGAGGCAGGAAGTGGACACCACCCCCCCACACACGGCCCGCTTTCCCTGCGTGGGAGGAGTACCAGGGACCCGAGCCACCCCCAGCGTCGTATGCCCCCACTTCCCTCCGCCTGACATTCCTGTGGCCACCGAGGACTTGCTGTCACGCGATCCAGCCTCAGCGCCCGCTGAAGCCTGGACCCCAGCCAGAGCCTCGCGTGCGAGCACAGCTCCGCCCCCGCCGCCCTGCGGCCGACCGGGAGCACAGCTGGGCAGATCGCTGCAAGGTTCCCCAAAGTGCTTCCAAGCAGACAGCGGTCGGTGCCTGTCCCATCATCTCTGAGATTCCCCTCACCCTCAGATACCTAGAGCCTCCATCCTCCCCAGAGCCACTCTTCCCCTCCAGGGACCCTAGCACTTCCCAGGGGCTCCCACATCATTCTCAACCTTCCCAGGCCCCCATCAGCCCCAGAACTTCCTATCATCTCCAGGACCCCAGAACCTTGGGAGTCTCCCCCATCACTCCCATCACCCTGTTCACACACGGAACAAATAGGGCGAGAGAAAGGGTTCTCCCATGGAATGGGGGTGAGCCCCATGGGAGGGAGAGGACATGGCATGGGGGCGTGTTCCATGAGGGGGAGGGAATGGGATGGGGATGTGCCCATGGGTAGGTGTGTGTATATACGTGTGAATGTGTTCATGTGTGTGAATGAGTATGTATATGTGTACATGCGAGCACACATGTATGTTTGTGACCGAGTGTGTGTGTGTGAGCACATACTAGTGTGGGTGTGTACAATTGCATGCACATGTTATGCTCAAGTGTGTGTATAAAAGGGTGTGTGCATGTAACCACGTGTGAGTGTGTTGAGTATGAGTATACATGCATGTATGTGTGCATGTGAACGTGTACCAACTGTGCGTGTAATGTGTATGTGTATGTGTTGAGTGTGAATATACGTGTGAGTGTATATGCATGAGTGTGTTGAGTGTCTGTGTCCATGTGTGAGCGTGTACCCAAGTGTGAGTGGGTATATACGTGTGTTGAATGTGTGAGTGTATATGTGTATACATAATGCATGTGTGTGTGCCTGAGCATGAGTGTGTACACGCGTGTGTGAATGAGAGCATGTTGGATGTGAGTATACATATATAGAGAGTACACATATGAGTGTGTACCTGAGTGTGTCTGTGTGTGCATGTGAATGTGTGAAGGCTGAATGTTGGGGATTTCAGAATGAAGAGGGAAACTGAGGCCTCGTAGAGATAGGTGTGTTGAACATGAGAAAATGCATGTGATGGTCATATTAGGAGCCGGAGAAAGCGTCCAAAGCGGGCATATTTGTGAAGGTGTGAGCCCTGAAACCCCCTTACGGGCACAGCCTGAGATTAGAGGGGTTTTCATGACATCCACAATACCAAATTTCCTGAGGCCAGAAAAAAATCACGAGAATCAATAAACATGCTCATTTCATGCAAACATGATATTAAAAAAAAAAAAAAATCAAAGCCCATTCCAAGATGCATATTGCTACAATTTCTACAGAAAGAATTTCCAGATTTTCCAAAAGGCAGCGGCCAAGCCTCACAGATTTCACACTTTGATAAAGCTTGGAAGGAACCACAGGGAAAGTACGGTTTTCTTGGAGCCAGTGAGGGCAGGGGTGGCATTTCCAAGCTCTGGGGCCAGCCAGCCAGCACCAGTCAGCCTGTCTTCTGCCCAGAGCGGTCAGTCAAGCAGCCACCGTGAGACTGTGGCCTTGGAAATGCTCCCTTTCTGGGACCCTGCCCCCATTGTCAAGAAAGATGCAGCCCAAGGAGCTCCTTGGGAAAGCACAAAGGAATCTATTCCTACTCATTATGGGCCCATATTCCTCAGTGTCTGAAATATCTGGCGTAATGAGCAGACCAGTTGAGAGTTTTTGCTTAGCTTCAACAAAGCCAAAGAAAAAGCAATCTTGTGTTAAGACTAAGGTTCAAGAAAATTTGTAGTCAACAAAACGAAACCAAAAGTCAGAGGAAGAGAAAGAAAACCCACTTTTACTCAATTAATAAACACATGAGCTACCACTCATCTGTCATTTTGCCATATTGTGGTGGTTTGTGTGTTGTCGTGGTGCATTTGAATTACAGTCTTTGAAACTCCCATAGACTGCTAGAAAAATAAACAAATCTGTCTTGGACGCAAGGATGGTGAGATCTCATCTCTCACACTTTGGACATGTTGTCAGGAGGGACCAGTCCCTGAAGAAGAAGAATACGTTTGGTGAAGTAGATGGTCAGAGACAAAGAGGAAGACCCCCAGTGAGATGGATTGACAAGGGGGCTGCAACAAGGGGCTCAAACAGAACAATTAGGGGATGATCCAGAACCAGGCAGTGGTTCGTTCTGCTGTGCATGGGGTCACTATGAGTTCAAATGGACCCATCAGCACCTAACGCACGGTGTGCGGGCACAACGATGGGAGTGCAGGAATACCTAACTCACAGTTAACAGAGACCCACCTAGGCGACATACCAGGTATGTAGTAGAAAATGTTCCAAATTAGACACCCAACTAGTTCCAGCTAACCGTCACACCTTGTGA